TCAATACCGGTGAGGGGGATCTTGGTGAAGGGGATGTGCTTAAGTGGGGGTCACTGGTAAAAAGAGAGGTGAAGGAAAGGGAGGAATTTAGGGAACATAACAGAAGCCCCTCTGAATGATTCATTTAGTTTGTAGCCATCTTGGCAGGGGCAATAGAATCAGAACTTCTACAGTGAGACACTTATGTCTCTTCATTGGGCTATTAAGACTATGGAGGCAATGGATTCCAAGGACTTAGAATTTTCTAAGGCATCTCATTCTGGGAAAGGAAAAAGTTGAGGTCCTGATGTCAGCCAGAAGGGCGCTTATATCCCAGCAAGAGATTTCACCCAGTGCTGACCACTTGCAGGGCAGACCAAGAACCTGGAGACAGTGATGTGTCTGCGATGAACCAACAATAACCCAGGGCTGCTGAGTTATGCTTTTGCTCTTTCTAAATGCAAACCTCATGCCAGTATCTGGAACATGGATTAGAGGGTATCACTGGATCTATTCATCTGTTCCTCTTCCCAATGTAGCCATACTGGATAAACAACCCTTCTCTGATTTTCACCATTACTTGCATCTTTTATTGAACTACTGGGAAGAGGTAGCTAAGCTACTTTGTCAAGCTGGCAGTGACCAAGCTTTGATGATAACAATTGTGGTAGCAACTTGACTCCTTTATCCATCCTATCTATTAACTGTGAGCTAAATACCTAAGATATATCAGCCCCAGACTCCTGACAGCACAGAACTTAAATCAGACAAAGGAGAGCTAGATCTATAGCTCAATGGTAGAATGGCTGTTGAGCTTACAGAAGCTAGCCATGATGAGGTATCTTGTAGAGAAACAGACTTTAAAGGCAGAGGAAATATTGACAGTCTAAAAGAATGAAAGTTTCAGGTCTGAGTTTCCCCAAATATCCTTTCTTTAATAGTGGAGAACTTTTTAACTAAAAACATCGGTGCCCAGTCAGACATACCCCATTCCTTGTTCTGTTACAGCCAAGTGTGCATATCACCAAATTCAAACCAAGTGGATCTGAGTAGAAGTGACATTTAAGTTTTCTGATCAGTGCCCTTAAAAGCAGTGTTTTCTTTTGCCCTTGGAGTCTTTGGAATTAAAGATATGGATGGAGTTGCCATTTTTGACCATCAAACATAAAAAGTGAAGATTACCAAGCAACAAAATCGAGCTTCATGCCAACTCACAAATTCCACCCAGAATTGTTTATCTGATGTGTAATTCTATCTTGTTTAAGTCTCTGTGTTTGTAGTTCGTTTTTGTCAGATTGGCCTGACCTAGTCTAACTAACAAAAATTCTTTTAGTTGTTCTAAGCACACAACCCTAACATTTCTCAGCTGTTTTAGCATGTAGCAATAGCAGGTCCATGAAGACAGGGCAGTATTCAACAGGGAAAGACTGACTTTCAACCTGGTTTTGCTCATTTAGTCTTGAAATATTCAACAGCATTTAAGCTTTTACTTCCTGTACCAGTGAGTAAGAGACTCAGGTCTAGAGTAAACTGCATATTGAACTTATGTCTAGTTAGCAATCCATTGCTTCTCTTTCAATCAGGAAGCCTGGTTCTCTATCATATCTAACATTAGGGTCTCAGGAAAATATATTAGTCACATCACCATAAATCTCTACTTCTCCATCCAACCTAGCCAGCATCTCCGGAATGGTGGATGAAGCAAGTCTGTGAGGAGATACTTCCCCCATTTAAAGAAAGGAAAAGTCAAGTTCTGTGCTGACGCTAAGTAAAAATAGGTACTTCAAACACCAACTGTATGTGTAGGAGTCTAATAGATCCTCCATTGAATGCTGAAGTGATTCTGCTGAGACCTATGTGTCCCCAGAGTCTCAGCCCCTGCTATGTCTTGAATTATCTCAAGGTCCACTACATGAATGTGCCAATCAACAATCAGTGGCTTAAGCACCCATTTCATTCATTAATTCCTTAAACATTAAGTTCAGGAGATAAAACAAAACCAAACAACAACAACAAAAAAACAAAACAAAACAACCAACCAACCAACCAAACAAACAAACAAACAAATGAAAAACCTGCAGAAAAAGCAGATGACTGGTCCAGTAGCATATTATGAAAGGAAAAACAGTCATTGCTGGTGTTCTGTCAAAGAGAGAGGCTGGTGCACTTTGGGAAATGACACAGACTGCTTTGTTGAAAGACTGAAAATCTTGGATTATTAGGGTCAAGTAGGTATGTTGCTTCCACAAAAGGCCATCATCAGTGAGAATGTAGTCAATGGGAGCTGGTTTGCTAAATTACCACATTAATGTTAACACAGCTGAGGGGAAAAGGCTGTTGTGACTCAAGATAACTCAAGAGCAATTTGTTACTGAATGTCAAATCAGTCAGAGAGAGCTTCATCTGACAGGCCAGTCTCTGTCCCCAGAAGATCCCAGTCAACTGTGGAAAAGAACCTAGCCAGCCACCGTAGAAGTATGCCCAGTAAAAAGGAAATGGTCAAAAGGCAAATGCCAAGAGGCTCACATTTAGAGTGAGGAGTGGATGAGGATGGCCTTTACCTCGGCCACAGAGAAGCCAATGAAACCCACCACAAACAGTATGGTCAGGACATGACAGTGCCAGATCCAGAAGACAGTGACCACACAATAGCAGCAATGCCTACTTCCACCCCAGTAAGAAGCCCGTCTTCTCTCAACAACTCCATTTCTCATTCACCCCCCCAGTTTCAATGCAATGATCTGCCAATAAAGGAGCCCAGTACAATGGATGCAGAGCATGAGTCGAACTGCTAGGTCCCCAAGGAGCTTCTTTACAGTAGTGCATCCTAGGCACAGGTGCACAGAACTTTCTTTCAGTCTTTGCTTTCAAAGAGCTTTCATTCTAGACAAAAAGTCCACCCACAGACCTGCCCACTAACCACAGCACCAAAAGACCTTTCAAAGCTGCCCTTTTTGTTGTTGTTTTTCCTCTCTGGTAACCTTGTTGCTCTGTTTAACCTCATTTCAATTGTCCCATCTGGCTGAAAGAAATCCTGAAGTCTTCTCTGGGAACACAAAATGCGGGAGTCACCAGAGGGAAGAGAAGAGGGCATGCGAGCAGCTCCCTGGAAGACTGATTCTTCGTTGCAAAAGAGGGATGTAACTGGCTCTGAGTAGCATTCCCGATATCCTCCCCATCTCTAGCCAGTGTCAAACATCTTCAGAGATGTATGGTATTATGAAAATGCATTTATGAATACCATTCCATTTTTGTTACTTGGGAAGGCAAGTCACTTGGACAACTTACATAGGGAACAAGAATGTTTTTAGGGGACCAAAACCCAGGATTAACAACATTATTTTTTAACTACTCACAAAGCAATAAAGCTGGTTGTTATTGTACCAATACATGTTTTAATAATTGCGGCCTATAGTGGTAATATATTACTTTGCTCATCAGAATCCCTCTCTCTTCCATCTTATGACTTATACAGGCTTATTGTGACAAACTCTATCTCTTCTGTTCTAAGGCAGTTGGTACGGATGACCATACCTTAAACCTTATTCTGGGTGGAGACTTCAGTTGGCTTTCGTTCCTGGTGACTGACTTGGAAATTGGAAGAAAACCCAAGCAGAGTCTGTGAGAAGTGGCCTACTCAGACTTCTCGTGAAGGCTGCTGCTGAAGCTGACATTGCAAAGCCAGAGTAGACCAGAGCATGACTGCACCCTTGGGGAGCCACCTCTGTGTCTCCATCAGTTCTTACCTGCAGCCCTTCCTTTACATTTTGTTTCTGTAAAGGAACCTTTTGTTTGCGTAAAGCATTTGTGCCTTCTAACACTGTGGAAGCGAGTCAAGCCAGTGTAAACACCTTAAATCTTGGAGAGGAAGTAGTGTACAGAGAAGTCAGGGCCTCTTTGGAGAGCAGGGCTCAGTGTGATAGGCAAAGACTGAGCCAAAAGACTTCCCTTGGCTTCTACTAACGCTGCAGGAAACAACCCATAATATGGCACTTAAAATCACATTTTCTTTACAGGTGGCCTCATTTGAATTTCGCTATCTGGAATCAGAGAAACTTAACCTTTTTTCTTTTTTGAGAACTTCATACATGAGGATTATTACATTCTTATTTGCGGTAATTGCTTAGCCAGCACTTCTTACAGTTTAAAATATTACTTCAAATCCAGTGCTTTTGAAAATTTTCACTATAATCAAATGAGGTTGGAGTGGTGGATCTACCATTCATTTTAGGGTGAAGAAAACTGAGCCTCCTAGTTAACCGTGAGGAGGTCGGGGCTTTAGTCTTGGCTTCCGGGCTTCTGTTCACCATGGTCCTCTGAACCAAAGATACCAACTCCCCCTGGAGGAAGAGGGTATATTCCTAGGTCAATACCTCCGTGTTTGCAGTGGGCTGGACACGGCCAAAGCGTTAGAGATCTGAATTTGGTCACCTTGGCCAAATCCCCTTTGTTCCACATCCTGTTCCAGGACCGGTTAGAACTCAGTTATCTGGTGTTCCTTGAAGTTCTAAAAAGATCTACAATTCTAGACCTGCCTTCCTGATTCATGTTCCCCAAATAATCATCACACCATTGGCTGATATTTATTATCTCACTGGTGCCAGAGACTATGCTAAGAACTCTGCCTCCATTTTCCTTTTAAACCTTACAATAGTCTTAAGAAATCTCTCTCTAACAGATACAGAAACTATAATTCCCGGAGGTCAAAGGAAATGCCCTCAAAAGATCTGCAGGAAATCTGACTCTTCCTAGGTCAGAGGGACCATCGCGAACCTCCACTGGGTCTGCATTGATTTTTTTTTTTTTGAAGAAATTAGGGTCCGCATAACCTATCACCGCTCTCTGTGTCAAAAGGGAGAGAAGGGAACGAAAAGGGCGAAACAAATAGAGCAATCGCGGCTAGGCAAAACCAGAAGGGCCTTGGAAGGACTCCAGAGGTTTTTCCCAGGCCCAGGGGGCGGGGCGTCCTTCCCTCCAGCCACAGGATCCAATGTCCCACCCTTCCAGGCCCGGACCATTACCTTGTTGAGATGAGGGTTCCTGGTGACATCGTATCCTCGCTTTTTCAGGGGCACCGGGCGAGGCGGGCCCGACTTGGAGTGGCAGCCCTGGGCGGGCACGAAAGGTGCCTGGCGCCGGATTGTGCCGCAGGCCATGCGTGGCAGGGAGGCCAGCCGCGGGCTAGTGACCAGCGCGGCGCCCATGGTCCTGGCGCAGATCTGGAACCAGGGAGAGACCAAGGTCAGGGTTGCCCTCTAGCCAAGCCAGGACCTGCGCACCAGCAGAGCGTGGGGCCCGAGTCAGGACACTTATTCTTGGAGAGGCTGGGGGCTCCCGATGGGTTCGATGGGTTCAAGGCACCAGCCTCCGCCTCTCCTCCGAGGCCACCTGCTCCAGGTTCAGTCGCGATGCTTGGAGCCTCAGCCTCACCCGGCAAAGCGAAAGCAAGCTCAGAAAGCAGATGACAGCCAGTGCCATCCCTGCCCCCATACAGGAGAATGGGCGACTGTGCTCCCAGGGGTCCCCACACTCTCCTACTTCCTCCCCTCACCTGTCCAACTAAAGCCTATGCAGTCTCACTGCGGGTAGGTGGGGCAAGGCGCTACTGTCCCCTGTCACTCTCCGGTCAAAGACTGCACCGCACAGGCAGCGAGAGCTTGATCTTGCAGGACTGATGCGTTCAGGAAAAGCAGTTCCCCAAACCTTCCCTCGTAGCACTAGACTTCCTTTGAGGATGCCTGTGCGCCTCTTCCTAACAAGACAAGATGAAGTTCAGTTTCTTCCCACCTCGAAGCCTTTGCACTTTTTTACCCTGGCACTCTCCATCAAAAGAGCACTGAATTGCACGGAGGGTGGGCGCTAAAGGATCAACACTCCCTCTCTTGCTTCCACCTATTAAGCAAGGTCCTGAACAAGGATGCTGTCTAGTAGAATGACTATAAGCCGCAAGTGGCTGTGATTTTTCTATACATCCTCTAAATAAAATACAATTGCAAACCCCTTTCCTCTGTCTTGATAATCACTTTTTTTTTTGCACTGGAGAGCATGTGTGTATGTGCACAGGCACAGAACACTCTAGCTTTGTAGGAAGTCTCTTGGTTCCTAGCTGGGCTCCTAGGAACCCCCACACCACCGGCCACAGATGTTAGACTCAAGCCTGTCCCTTCATGTCCATCTATCCCTGAATTAAAGTGTGTACTTCCTCCACACAGTAGCCAAGAGGCTCCTTCTACAGGAAGTTATAGCACTGTGTGTGAGCTAACATCCAAGTCCTCAGGAGGTCTTTGGTTAACCACAGCTTGGCTTCTGTCAGCTTCTCATGTTCATCCTGCTTCCCTCAGCACTGCCCCTGAGGTCTCCTCTTGGTTTGTTTCTCCCCCTTACTCAGTTTCCAGCCTGCACCTGAGAGCCTTTGCATCTGCTATAACTTCTACATGGAACGTCTTCCTCCAGTCTCCCAAACAACTAGTAATCTCATCTCTCAGGTTGCCCCTAACTAGTCAACTTGGAGGCCATTATTCTAGTTATTCCATTCAGTGTTGACCATCCCCAGGGGATACACAAGAAAAGGGTTTTCCCTACATACAGATTAATAAGAGAGTTAGTAGCTCATTGCTCTGGTGGTTCATTGCTTTCCAACCTTAAAATATAGGCTTCACTGGGCTAGAGTCTTTGCCTAAAATTCATTTGTCCTTGGGGCCTGGCAAGTGGCTGTGTAGTAAAAACACAGCTCTTTGGTGAGTGAAGGTGAGTGACCATTTTATTCATTAGGACTGTGGACTCTCAGAATGGCTACCAGACAGATGTGTGCTTCTCTCAAGCTCATCTTCAAACCTCACCCCATTCTCATGTTTCCAGTACAAACTAGGCATGATGGTGTCATCAGGGTCCTCCTGCCTGGGCTCAGGTTTCTGTCTCCTCAAGAAAATGGCCTTCCTCTGAAGCCTTTCCTCTCTGCTCCAATTTCCAATTCTCAGTCTGAATGACCTATATTAAACTGTGCTTCTTAGATCAGCATCAAACTTCCCCATTGAAAGGATAGAGGCAGGGTCAATAGATTTGTAAGGTTAGACCCACAGAGTCTCATCCAGTAGAGGTTAAATGCCTGGTTAGGATTATTCTTAGACTGAATACTTACACAAGCCTATCAATGGTATTGTAAACAATAAAGCAAATTTGAGTTAGAGATTTTATAGGCTATAACCAAGATAATTAACTTCTTTCAATACTATTTCTATATTTGCATATATCACCACCAATTGTCAGACGTCTTGAGGACAGAGATTGTATATGCATGTTTCTTTATTCAGTAGTTAGTAGACAGCAAGTCACCAGAAGCTATTTGTTCAGTGAATATGCCTGTTTGTTACAAGAGGTCTTGCCTGGCTGGTCCCAAATAAACCTTGAGCCCCCAAAAAACAGATGGATGCTATATTAGTTATGAAACTGTTGGTTGGTGCCTATGGCTTCTTATTCGTTAGCTCTGTATTAATTACTAACCCATTCTATTTATGTATTTCCACATGGTCTTGGCTTACTGGAGAATGTCCTCTGAGTCCTCTCTTTCTGGGCTCTACGTGATGACTCCTCTCTGCCTACATTTCCCAGAATTCTCCTCCACTGGTAGCCTCGACTGTCCCTCTTGCCTGGCCACTAGCCACACAGTGCTTTATTCATCAACCAATAAGAGAAACATATATACAGTAGGATTTCCTCCATCACCAGACTGTTTGTTCAGTGAGTATGCCCTTGTTCAACACAATGATCTTTTCCATTCTTGGGTGTAAACTCAGTTCCTTGAACCCCAGCTAGAAACAAAGATGTAGGTAACAGTAGGTTTCAAACAAGTAAATACAATTTTATGCTATCAATTCACTGAAGCTTATAAAGTTTGCTTGAAAGTCCTTCATGTGTCATAAACTGTGGCTGATAACATCTCAGCCCAGTCACAGATCTAACAATGTTATCATGTTGGTTAAAGTAATGTGCTAAGCACAAGCCATGGGGTGCATTGTTGAATGAGGAGGTGTATTATTAGGCCCTGTTTCCTCAGGATACAGATCCTGCTGCCACAGTCCTCTGAGGTGATTTGGTTGTCTCCACAGGAGCACTAAGAGTACATCAGCATCCCATTTCTTCCCTGTGGAAAGTCAGAGGGGAATAGGAAAGGAAGTGGTTCTCCCTGAGGGAAATGGGATGGATGCAGTCAGTTGGCATCTGCTCACAGTTTTTTTTTGGAGGGGCTGGGGAGTACATCACATAGTCACATTGATTTTCAAGGAAGACTGGAAACTGTTGTCTGCCACAAAAGCATGGATTCTTTACTGAGGAATCATAGAGTAGCCTATTACCAAAAGGAAGAAAAACTACTAAGAACTGTTCTTTGGGATGGACTGTACTAGAAGTCTAGATATAATACTCATTTTGTGGTGAGGAGATTGGCATGCAGGGTAGGCTCAGAAACTGACATCTGTAACTGCTCTGTGGGTTCCATCTCTGCTTTATAGTAACCTTACTTTTCAAGACGAACATAGTATTTCAGAGACAAAGTTTAGAAGCAAGGGGACATCCTAGAACTTTCCAATTCCAAAACAAAACAGAACAAAACAAAACAAAACATCAACAACATCCCCTAACAACCTAACCAACCAGTATGGTAGTCTGTTGTAGCATTAGACAGAACCAGTGACTATTCATGATCTGCGTCCCTCCTCCCCTTTCACATCCCACCTTCTGACTTCTGCTGCCTTTGTGATGCTGCTTTCTGAGGTGACAGGATGAGAATCTCATTCTATCCCCTTACCAAAGGTTCCATTTCCAAATTCACTTTAGACATTTGCTTTTCTAGTATAAGCACAGAGATTTGAGGATGTATGTGCTACCCTATTGAATTGTGACTTCCTTGCAGACTGAAATGGGGACAATACTCCAGCTAGAAATCACACATTACAAAATAAAACCCTAGTACCCAGAGTGAGTTATCACTTTTTGAATTGGTGGTCAATGGGGTCCCAAAGACTTTCAAAACATTACAGGTTATTGCCAAAACTTGACAGTTAGACCTCATTGCTGAAGATACCATATACAACTGGAAGCTTCATTTGTATCAGATGGCACTCACAGTTTTGGAAGGTGCTGTACATGCTATGGGAGAAAAGTGATCATCAATCTTCCCCAGCTATTAACTCTGCAAGATAGAATGATGATCTTTCTGGTAAGATATGTCCGTCCCGTCCCCCCCCCCGGTGCAATAGTAGTGCAAATGTTATAGGAATGATCAATTACTTTTTGATGTAATGAAAGCCTGCTCCATGAGATGGATCTTATGCCAGACACTATCAGTGAGGCCAAGAAACAGAGACTAGATAGACCATGAGCCCTAGAAGGAATCCTACTTATATTATTCTGCTAAAGGTATGGTGTAATAAAATTATTCCTGATGGCATATTGCTTGCTATACCCATAGATCAATGAGTACATCACTCAACCTTCACCAGAGATGATTCTTCTTGTGATAGACAACAACTAACACAGAGCCCCACAATTGATCAATCTACAGAAATAAGAGAATTTGGAATTCTCAGCCTTAAATGGGATGTCTATCATACCCCTCTATCAAGGTTCAGGAATCTACATGGAAGATGAGGTGGGAAGATTTTAAGAGCCAGAGGTGGTAGATACCTTCAAGGAAGCAGTGTTTTCCAGACTCAACAGGGCAGATGCACAAACAAACTCACGAAGACCGTGGCAGCATGCATAAGACTTGCATAAGCAAAAGTTAAACAAAATCCCAGTAGGGAAGAAGGTAGATGGCCATAAAATCTCATCCATAGGCAAGGAGCTATTGGCATTTGATTGTAACTGGGAAAGGGAAAGTCAGGTTTTTTTCAGTTCAGTGATATTTGGTATATGGGTCACACTCCAGAGCAGGTCCCATGCCCAGGAGTAGTTGGCTGGTCGGGCAATGAAGACTGGATTCCATGGCATTTGTTTTGTTTGGTTTAAGACAGAGGAAAAAAAACATTAAGTTGGGTGGTTAGAAAAGAGGGGAAGGATCTGGGAGGGGCTAGAGGAGGGGGATAAATATGATCAAACATATTGGAGGAAACTCTTAAAGGATGAATAAAAACATGACTTTAAAAAGATTGCAACCATCATTTACAAGTCTTTATACCTTCAGTGCCTGGGTCAGCACCTGGCTGGCACAGAAAATAGACTTGGTTTGTTAAATTTGCTTTGGGCATTTGTCAAGCAAGGCCTTTCTCTTCCTTCACTTCTGTTTAAATACCTTCATCTCTGGAAAGTGTCTCTCCATCAGTAAGCTCATCTTTCTTCTTCATGGTCTCCAAATGTCTCTATATGTATTTACTATATCATTAAAGCCAGTCTTTCTTGCACGTGTTTTATTTATATGCCTGTCTTCTCCTGAGCCTCTGGGGACCTCACGAAAGCAAACAGCTTTAGATTCCAATGATCTGGATTGTACTAGTGAATATTTCATGTGACCTTGAGCATTTAAAGTGGCCTTTTACAACCTCACCATCTTCATGTTAAAACTGAGATCCTACTGGTATTTCAAGCATTTTTGGTAGACTTATTTGCTTATTTAAAGCACTTACAATGCACTGACATGATGCCAAGCACAGTTCTAAACACAAAGGTCCTCCACTTGAGGTTTAGAAACTAGTTTTGATCGTTTCCCAGGCTGTTGAGACTCACTCTCATTCTGGCTAGCATCAGTAAATTATGACTCCCAATTTATCAGCCATGAGAATAAACAACTGGTGTTTGGCAGGGCACTGGCTGCTAAGCTCTGG